TGGGACTGACTAGATGAACTTTATCCTCTCCTAAAAGATCATTAGTATAAGCCTCAATCACTTGGCTTAAAACCTCACAGTTTTCCTTGCTCTTCAATCCCTAAGACTTCTCTTTCTCAGACATTTGCTATCTTCCCAGCCCCCAAACTGGCTTCTCCAATGACGCAATATACTCCAGCCAAAACAAAGAATTGTATTTACTAGTTTCCTAGACACACCAGGAAATTCCCAATCCTATAACTTTGTCATGCTATTGTTTCTACCTTTAATGTCCTCTTTCCAAAGTCTAGACATTCTTCACACTCCAGTTCAAATGCCAGTTTTTTCCACCAAGCTTTCCCAGAAGCCCCAGTAATCACTGCTTCTCAATACTCCACTTTTCTCTACAAAACTTTAAAAAAAAACCCCAAAACTTATGAAGGTTCCTTATCTCCTCTGATAAATTGAACACTCCCTATGGAAAATATACCTAATTTATTTTTGTATTCCTACCTCCTCTTTTCATTGGTAGTTGAAGATCTTAATAATATATGGCAACAGCATATAATGGCTAAGAGAACAGACTCTGAAGACAGCTTGAGTGTGGATCTTAACATTGCCATTTGTTTAGCTATGTGACCATGGGCAAGTTACTGGACCTCTCTGAACTTCAACATCTGTAGGCATAAAATGGATATAATAACAGCAGATATTCCATAAGGTTATCAGGACTTAGATTAGAACAGTGTAAGCACCATAAAGATGTCTATTAAATACAGTGGAAAAACAATGAAAATACTGTCGAGTGTTGAGTAAATCTTTATTTATGAAAAGCAAAATGTCAAAAGCGAAGCTAGTCTTTAGGTACAAAACAAGTATATACAAATTCTTGCTACATGTTATGTATGCCCTAAAGGTTAGCTGTGCCTTTTAAAAATCTTCCTTATCTTAACAATGGTTCTATGTTTGACATTTGACATTCTGAGAAAATATTTAGTTCAGTTTCTTGTGGCAAGAGACACATAAATTGGTCTCCTTGCTTCCAGTCTTATTCCCTTTAATCTATCCTCCGCAAGGTTCACAGAGTCATCTTCCTAAAATGCAGACCTAATGTTTATCCACTGCTACAAACTCTCTCCATCCCATTCCCTTAACATAAAGATTAAACTTTGCATCTCACACTAAGTTGTCCTAACATGGCCCCTGCCTAGTCTCCAGCTTCAATGTCAACACCTCTTACCACAAAACCCAATTACCTGGCCACACCTAAAAGGCTTTTTGTCTGTCATTTCATTTGTCTAGAACATCCCTGTATTAATCTGCTAGGGCTGCCATAATAAAACACCACAGGCTGGGTAGTTTATACAACAGAAATTTATTTCCTCAGAGTTCTGGAGGCTAGAAGTCCAAGATCAAAGTGTTGACAGGTTTGGTTTCTCCTGCGGCTTACGGATGTCCTCCACAGGGTTTTTTACTGTGCACACTTTGCTGGGGCCTCTTTTTGTGTCCAAAGCTCCTCTTATAAGGACACCAGTCAAAATAGATTATGACCCACTCTAAAAGGCTGCAGTTTAATTTAATCACTTCTTTAAAGGCCCTACCTCTAATTATAGTCACATTCTGAGGTCATCTGGATTAGGGCTTCAACATTTAACAAAAGTTTTGGAGGGACAGAGTCAGCCCATAACAACCCCTTCTCCTTTTCTTTGTCCAGGCTAATTCCCATTGTTTTTCCAAACTAGCCCAAGCCTTTCCACCCCAAGAAGATTTCAGTGCCTTCTCTCTGTGTGCCCACAGCTCTTTCGTATGATGCTCTCTGAATGCTGCTATCCTATTACCACTCTATCACAATTGTCTCTTTCCCTCTTCAGACTGTGTTTCTTAAGAGCAGAGACTAAGTCCCTAGCACTTAGTACTTAGTGCTCCTTGAAGGTATTTAATAAAGATGTGATTATTGAGAGAAAGTATAAATAACCCATGAACTTGAAGAAAGTCAAACGTGGGTTCAAATCCTGGCTTTACCATTTAATTATCTTGAGACTTTGGGCAAGGCACTAAATGCCAAACTTCTCTTCTATATAAGGTAATTGTAAAGGTAAATGACCTAATTATAATAAAAAAAATCCAGCTGTGTGGTTGGTACACAGTAGGTTCTCAATAAATGTTAAGAATAAAGATTCTGAGATGCCTGAATTTGACACCGAGTCCCACCACTTAGTGGCTGAATGGCCTTGGGTGTGTTAACTTATCCTCTGCTTCAGCTGTCTATGTATAAAATCGCCCCTTCCATCTAACTTATTTCACTTAGCAGGATACTCTAAAGATCCATCCATGTTGTCTCAAATAGCAGTATTTCAACCTTCTTTTTATGGCTGAGTAGTATTCTTGTGTGTGTGTGTGTGTGTGTGTGTGTGTGTGTGTGCGCGTGTGATCTTCTTTATCCAATCATCTGTTGAAGAACATCTAGGTTGTTTTCATTTCTAGGCTATTGTAAATCAAATCACAATTAACACAGGGGTACATATGTGTTTTCAAATTTTGGGGGTAGATACCCAGAATAGGGATTGCTGGGTCATACAGTAGTTGCATTCTTTGAGGAACCTTCATACTGTCTTCCATAGTGGCTGTACCAATTTACATTCCTACCAGCAGAGCGTGAGGGCTCCCTTTTCACCACATCCTCTCCAACACCGACTTTTCTAATTGATAAGAGCCATTCTAATGGGTGTGAGATAGCTATCTAATTGTGGTTTTGATTTGCATTTCCCTTACAGCTACTGTAAGTCTGATGGAAAAGAACAAGAACCAAGAACCGCATGATTTTAGTCATATGTGGGATATAAAACAAACACCAACAAACGAACAAACAAAACAATCTCCTAGACACAGACAAAAGAATGGGGATTGCCAGAGGGGAAGGGAAGTGGAGAGAAGGCAAAGAAGGTTTAGGGGGTTAAACACAAGGTGTTGCAAGGACACTAGATTTTGGGTGGTAAGCCCAAAACAGAGTATACAGATGTTGTATTATAAAGTTGTACACCTAAAAATTATATAATGTTACTAGCCAATAAATATAATTTTAACAAAGCACCTCATGTGTTTCTGTAAGTTAATATAGGTAAAACATTTAGATGGGTATCTGACACATAGTAAGTATTATATAAATGTTTCCTATTATTACATGAGCACTGCAGGTCTGAACAAATATGACTGGAAACCATGAATAACTTGGTTCTTTCAATACTAAATCATTTTAAATATATTAATCTCTCAGATTACTTACCAACTAAATGGGATGGTAATTTAAAAGGTTCAAAAATTGGTAGATAACAGAACTCAAAATAAACATGATTATATCTGTCTCTTTCCTTGTATTGGTTTTTAACATATATCCATATTGAAGTAAAATTTTGAAGAAACAAGCTTTTGTACTCTTAACACTTACAAGTATTAAGCATTTTCAGTGGAGAATAACACTCCTTGGCTCATATTTTCAACTGCAGATTCACTAAAACTTTGAACCAGAAAGGACCTTTGAGATGGAAATCTAATCCTATGCTTTACATAAGTAAACTGGGGGTGGTTTGGAATGTGCTTTTAGGGCCTTAATGAGCAACTCTCTGCAGGACAGAAATTGCAAGCACAGAGAACAACTGGGTTAAAAGTACTGAAGCAGGGGTTTGGACTTAATCATAGATGCCCAAAGTAGGTAGAAACCAATATTGAGAAATAACACTGAATAATGCCTTTAAGATAATTTCTGAAATAAGTACAAGTTACTTGATCTGTAACTTCGAAGCAAGGCAAATCTAGGTTTGAAAATCCACTTAAGGTCTTTGAGCCGCAGATTTAGTGCCAAAGAGTTATTACAGTGAGTGAGTGAGTGAGTGTATGTAGAGCTTATAACTGGGGTGCCTGGTGGATTGAAGATGCTCAAGTGTTTGGTCTTTCCGACCCCTTCCATCATATAAATAAAAATCTGTAAGGTAACAAAACAGTGTCTTTCAGAAAATGTATGCTAGCTGAAAGTGTAAGGCTTGTGGAACATTACTTAACTTTAAAACTAGAAAGCTGAATGAATGCTGAGATGATAAAGTATCTTCATCCCTGCCCTTTCTCGCCACCAACCGTCCTTCGCGATTTGTTTTGAAGCGTCCCGTCACCACCATTAGCAATGCTATTTGGACACCATCGTAGCTCAGGCATCCAATTCCACAGCAACGATTCGAAGGTCAAGAAAAAGCTTACTGAAATATATATATATAGTAAAAAACTGAGAGTCCATTTCATTCCTATGGTCCAGTCTAGTTTGATGAATGGCCAGTGAACGATTAGTTCACTGCAATTAGTGTTGTGTTTTTGTTTTTGTTTTTACGGCGCAGAAACTGCAGGTTTAAGTGAAAGGGCTGCGGTAAGGTGCCTGAGTTAGTTCACCACTATTTTGACCTAGAAATCTTTTAAGCGAGAGGTTATCTTTATGCCAGCGCTAAAAAGGACATCTGCTAGTATCCATTATTTGCGCTTGAAACTCAAGTCAACTGCTTCTTTGAAAAGAAGTGTGATATCTGCCTCAAAATCAATCGCAGGAAAAGTCCAACTCAACTCGGCTCAACATAGAAAGAGCTCTTTCCAATACCCTCTCCTCTCGCTCACAGCACAGACGGCGACCGAGGCTTAGGGTTTATAACCTCCAGGCACCAAAGCCGCTCTTCTCTGAGGGTCGGGGGCCTTGTGGATAATGTCCCGCAGGGGATGAGAATGCTGCCAATCGTCAGAAGCGGGGTGCACCCGGAAATCAGGGCACAGTGCCCATCACTTTGCACTCACACTTGGGAAACAACCCACTTCCCACCGCCGGGCGGGGACACGGCGAGGACCCTGCCGCCCAATACCCAGCCTTGCGCTTGGGTGTCCGTGCGCGACCTCGGAGGACTGGGAAGAGCGCGAGGCGGGACGTCTCCTTCGTTTTCCAGGGAAGTTGGCCAGGGCAGGCTCGGGTCGTGCACGGGAAGGTTACTTACAGGAATGGCCCGGAGTCCTCCGCCCCCGTTCCCTCAAGGAGAAGCTTCTAAAGCGGCAGCAGCCTCAGAGTTGCAGCCGGGCGGCTGCCACCGCCTGGAACCGCCCGGGCGTGGCTGGGACGCGCGAGCGACTTCACAACATCATTACACGGCGACTTCAGTTCTACAGCGACACCGGGTCAATGGCAGTCCCCGCGCATCTGGGGAAGAGCAAAAGAACCCCACTCTCCCAGCAGCCCCCACGGCACCAGCCTTCGCCTTGCTGGGAATTGTAGTTCCCTGTCGACCCTGCCCCCCCGTCCCCCAGAGTTGTAGTTTCGCCTTTGCCCCGCCCCGAAGCCCGAAGGCCACGCCCCCTAGTTGCCTGTCCCTCACGCGGGAGGCGGGTCCGCGACCCCGAGTCGGGGTGGGGCGAATCCCGTCCCGACAGATAGCCTGGGACTGGGGCAGAGTTCCTGGATCGCCGCCCCAGTCCGGGTCGCGCCGGCCTCCTGCGCCCCGCGGCCCGCGCTGGGAGCGGGCCTTGAGCGCCTGCCGTGCCCCTCAGCACTGGACTCCCACGCCCGCCGAGGCCCCGCATCGCTGGCCGCCTGAGGAAGAGTCACTAGCCGTGATCGCCTCCAGGGTAATGAAGGGAGGCCGGCCAGGGAGGGGACTGTCAAGGGGCCGGTCGGGGACGGGAAGGAGGGCGGCTGGGTCCGCGCAGGCCACGGGAATCCCGGGGCTGACTCGCCGCTGCGACTGGAGCGCGGCCCCCCGCCTCCGGCGCAGCTCCGGCTCTGCCCGGATCCCCTGGGGACGCCGTGGCAGAGGCACCTGCGTGCCCGGTGGGCGGTGCCCGCTGGTGTTGGGGGCGCCAGATGCGCGAGGTCCGAGCTCGCCGCCCCACTCTCCACCCCCAGTTCCCACCTTTGGCCGCGCTCACGGGCCTGGCGGAGTTTCCGGACTGAAGACACCCTCTGACCCGGGATCCATGTGCCACCGTCTGCGAGCTCATTATACAAAGCCCGCCTCACCCCACCTTTCCCCCGAAAAAGCAGGACTAGGAAGGAACTTTTTGCAAAAGTAAATGTCTAAGCTTCCTTTTATCCTTAGTATTTAAGTTCAGCGTTGCGTTTTTCCCTCGTGGGTTTGTTGTGTCAGGTACCCTTTTCCTCTAATCTTAATCAGAATTTGTGACACAGCGCCTACCTAACACAGGGCACACAGTAGGCGTTCATTGAATGTTTTTTGAAAGCATGAGTCACGATACTAAGTTTGGAAAATTCTACTGAGTTGTGCGTCGCTATAATTTTTAAGATATTATGGGTTCCCAAGATCACTTTGAAAATTACAGTAATTTTAAAGCTCAGCAAAGAGAGTGAAGTTTGTTTTGTTTTGTTTTGTTTTTTGCATTCCCTATAATAATGGACTGTTGGATGCTAAAATTGACTCAAAACCCAAGTTCTGTAAAAAGGCGCAGCTCCTCGTTTTCACTGAAAGTGTCAACCTTTCAGAGTAAAACTAGCATTCTATTATTAAGTTATTTATAAAAACTTTATCCTAATTAGCTTTTTAGATACTAGTGCAAGGGACCACACTGATGTGAGTACATTTAGAAAACTGGGTCTCTAAAATACGGATTTAAAAAAAAACACATTTATATTCATACCTAGTGAAAGAGCATGTAGAGAAAAATATGACAGCAAATCCCCACCCCCTCCACACACACACAAACACACACACCTCCCAGCTCCTTACTAAGTGCAGCTGCTGCCTTGACTTCAAAATGTCTTGTAAAATTCTCTCTTAATAGACTGGCATAGCTAAGCAAAAACCCCTGGGATTAAACTACCCCATGTGGACAACCCCTTTAGTACTAATAAATCTCACAGATTGTGCACATTTCTTCTCAGTTTTTCTGAAAAGTAGTAAGGTAATGAAACTTAAAGTTTTTGTTGTTACTGTTGTTAAGAAACTACTGATGTTAAGTGGAAAAAGCAGGAAACAACATCCTAATAACCAGAATATTCAGTTCATCCTGACGTCCCATGTCTTTCTGCTCATGGGTAGGTAAGTTACAAGTGGTCAGGGCCTTATCTGCCCTGTCACCAGTGACTGTCCCCAATGTCCAGTGCAGTGCTCAGTCCACAGTAGCCATTTATTAAACAACTGTGGAATGAATACTTGGCTGTTTCACATAACAGTATAATGACTTTCAATCTGTATGTGGTTTTTTCATTTGCTTGCATATTTCTTTAGAATAGGTTACTAGAAGTGAGAATTTTACTGGGTCAAAATGTATGAATATTTTCATGGTATCAAAATAGTGCCAACTAGCTATACAAATGAGCTGTACCATTTTGCACTGGTATATTTGAGTGTGCCTTTCAGAGCATCCTCTCAAGCTCTTATATTGATACAGTGTTTGGTAGTTACGGGTACTTTCAGAGGAAGTATTTCATTTGATCTCAGGCACCCTGGAAGGTGGCCAGGACAGGCATGGCATTCCTCCTTTTGTAGCAGAGCAACTTCCAGCGCCTGAAATTGTTACAGTTGAATGACAGTTAACAAAGTAATCATATACTTTCAGGTTCTTCCTCCCATTCTTTACCTTTGGTTTGTAGTGAACATCTTGAATAAATTCACATCTTTCCTTAGCAATAAAATTGGATACCACTCTATAATATCAGTGGTTTACAAAATCTTCCTTTTCTTTCTCATTTTGCTCGATATTTGCAGATACTTTCATCAAACTTGAGGACTTCGTGAAAATGAAATAATAAAACACAATTTATATGAAAGAAGAGAGATTTAGTAGGTAGAAGGAAACAACCAGGCACTATCAAGTTTAGAACATTACTACCCTATTAGGAAAGATCTGGAAACTTTTGTAGCTCCTCAAATCTGAAGAAGTTACTCTTAAATCTCTGAATCTGTTGCAGAATCTTCATAAACTATTTAGCTTAATACTCTATTAGTGAAAGTAGACAGGATTCATTTCCACAGTTATCTGTATATCTTTCATATCTGTCAGTAAATTCCAAGAATAGAATTGAGAACAAAAAAAAAGGTAAAAAATATTCAATCTACCAGAAATATTATTTTCACATGAAAACAAACAAAAAAAAAATTTAAACATGTGGCAACAAGAAAATATTATTCTTAGTTTGTTACTAATCCTGATCCTTCCAAATTTGCTAGTCAGAGAACCCAAATAATTTAAAAGGTAATTAATCTGAGAAGGAAGTTTTGGAAGTTTCAAAGTATATTTATAAATGGGCTTCCTAAGGCACCATTTATATCAAAAGTGGGTCCAACATTGTTTTTCCATATTATTTTCACAGTTACTTAGAGTTCTTTTAAAATAGTACAGAAAAAGACAGAGGAGGAGAGATGCTGATATATTGACATTTTGAAAATATCCAGAACCTCCCTTCAATTTCCCTCGGTCTTTCTGTCATGATGTCAGATCCCAAATATTGTTCAGTAAACAGAAATGCTCTTCAAAGACTTTCCAGTAATGTCTCTATCTAGTCCTTGCATCAAGGGATTGCTGCCTAAAGTGTTGTGTGGGTTTATGGCAATTAGTTCTTCAAGAAACTTTTATATAAGTCTGAATTATTTTGCTTTTGTTTTTTATAGTAGGATATTTCTGCACCTTCAAGATAAGCAAAAATCTTCTCTGCAATAGATGGATTTTTGTCACTTTCTGTGAACTAAAGCGATTCAATGTCTCTTCTGGTAAGTTTTTGTTAATGTTGATCTAATTTTGTTAAATGTTAATGCAGAATCATAACAAAAGGCATATTCTGATGGGATATTCTTTACCCTGAGATGTTGTTTTGACTTGGATGACTTATTGTTTTAAAAAATTGAGTTAAATTCTCATTGATCTTTTGTTTCTTCAAGAGAGTCTCTCCTATACTTTTCTGATATACTCATTTTCTTTTCCTTTGACCCATACCCACTTTTTCTCATACATATTCTGTTCTTGGATATGCCTCTCTCATCCAGTTAGCTATGCTTTATTATTTAAATCTTTCAAAAATGTCCTGTACAAATTTCCATCTGACTAAAGACAGGCAAAAGAAGAAATTTTTTGAAATAAGCCTCTTGACTTAACAAGACAAAAAACATTTGAATCAGTGTGCAATATGAGGTATAGATACCACCTTGTTTTCTATTAATATAGATCCATGTCTAATGTACTTTAGATATTGGCATCTACTTTAGATTAAGTAGTTTTGGGACTTTCATCATGTCTTATACAGATTACAATACAATACTTGAATATTTGAATTATATTAAAGCAACAATCATTTAAAAAGTGATGGGTACATTTGTATGAGGACTTGTAGTTTATAGAAAACTTTTATACATTATATCTCTTTCAGTCTTCAAAGTTGTGAGTGATTGGCAGGGCAGGTGGTATAATCCTTATTTTGAGTTTGGCCCAAGATTGCAAAGAATTAGAGCTAGGTCTCAACTCCTATCTGCCAATCAACACCTTCATTTGCCAAGTCTGAGAGGCAGTACTAAGAAGTTAGAAGAAGGTATTATTAGTAATACAGAATGCATTTACTTTATGTTTAAAGTATACCTTTTCTGCTTAAAAGGGGGAGCTTTATATATCTGGAAAATACATTGAGGTGAGATACCTACCTCATTTCCAAAACAAGGATCGGCAAACTTGTTCTGTAAATAGCCGGGTAGTATTTGTGTGCTATATGGTCTCTCTTAAGTTACTCTTCTGTTTTATTTGGTGTGAAAGCAACAATAGGTGATATGCAGATGAGTGGGTCTGTGGGTCAGTTGAATGACCCTTGCTCTAAAGGATTACTTAAGATGTAAAAGGGGCACCCATTTATGATCAAAACACTCAGCAAAATGGGAATAAATGAGGCATTCCTCAACGTAATAAAGGCCATATATGAAAAACCTACAGCCGACATTGTACTCAACAGGCAAAAACTGAAAGCTTTCCCACTAAGATCAGGAACACGACAAGGATGTCCGCTTTCACCACTTCTTTTCAACATCGTATTGGAAGTCCTAGCCACAGTGGTCAGACAAGAAAAAGAAATAAAAGGCATCCAAATACGAAAGGAGGAAGTAAAACTATCATTGTTTGCAGATGACATGATAGTGTACATAGAGAACCCTGTAGACTCTACCAAAAAACTCCTCAACCTAATAAGTGAATTTGGCAAAATAGCAGGATACAAAGTCAATATT